TCGAGGCCCAGCCCCACTGGCTGCGTCCCCAGGGCCAGTGGCGCCCCAAAGTCCTGTGTCACCCCCATGTCCCCCTGCCCCATAGCGCTGTGGGGCACCCCCTAACCCTCTCCCCTGCCCCATAGATCTATGGGGCACCCCCTGACCCCCAACCCCCTTTGGCTTCTCCTCGGGGGTGTCCAGGGAGTGACCTCCAAGGTTCCTGCTGGAATCCAAACTCCACCGTCGCCGTTATCTCTAATTAATAATTAATAAGAAGCTAATAAGCTTCAACCCCGGAGGAATAACGATCGGGGCGGCTTAAATATGATAAAAACAAAGAATAATTAACAATTAACGAGCGGGGGGGGGGGGGGGGGGGGAGGACAACTCCCCAGGGACCTGCTGGGGCCACTGGTCAAACCGAAAGTGAAACCAGCTCCGTGGGGCCCTGGAGGCAGGTTCATTTTTACCCCCAAACGCCCAAGTTTTGGGCAACTTCAAGGAGGAAATGAGACTTTTTGGGGAGGAGGGAGGTTCTTTTTCTCTCCTGGGGGTGGGAAATCCTCCCTATTTCCTCTTTTTTTGGAGAGGTGGGATCTGCCTCTTCTGGGCTCCTCTTCCTCACCAGGAATTCGGGACGGGGCTTTCCCTCCCAATCTCTTGGAATCTCCCCCAAAAAAGCGAGGGAATTGGTTTTTCTTCCTCTTTTCGAGACCTCGGGACATAAAATTCAGCATTTTCCTTCCCTTTTCTTCCCCTTCCCACCGATGGAAGCTAAAAACGGGGGATTTTGCCTTAAATCCTGGAATAAAACCCAGTCGGAAGCGAAACGGGGTCGGAAAACGTCTCCTCAAAGGAGGAACTCGCCTTTTTCTGGGGTTTTTCGCCTTTTTTCCTGCTAAAAGTGCCCTTTTCCGGCCTTTCCCCTCCAGCTCCGCCCGTTACTTAATTTTCCAAAAAAAGGGAAAAAAAGGTTTGGTTTAAAAAAGGGGGGAAACGGGTCATTTTGAGTCCCCCCTTGGTTTCCTTCCACCCAACGCCAAGGAGGACGCGGTGAATCCGGCACCCACCGAATCCCGTCGGAAATCTCTTATTCCGCTCTTTTTTTGGGGTCAAATCACCCACATTTCATGGTTGTGACGTCACCACCTCCTGGCCCTGCCCCGCGGTGATGATGTCACTCGCTGGGTGTGACATCATCATCCTCTTCCTCCTCCTCCCCCCAAGAGGGTGGCCCTTTTCCTGGCTCCTGACGTGGAAATAAGCGTTTTTATTGCGGATCTTGACGGAATATTGTGTATTTGGGGTGAAAATTCAGATGGACGCCCTGGGGAGGGGGTGGAGGGATGGGCAACCGTGATGGAGGGATGGGCAACCACCATGAAGGGATGGACGTGGTGGAGGGATGGGCTACCGTGATGGAGGGATGGGCAACCATGGTGGAGGGATGAGTGTGGTGGAGGGATGGGCAACCGTGATGGAGGGATGGGCTACCACCATGAAGGGATGAGCATGGTGGAGGGACGGGCAACCATGATGGAGGAATGGGCTACCACCATGAAGGGATGAACGTGGTGGAGGGATGGGCAACCGTGATGGAGGGATGGGCTACCACCATGAAGGGATGAACATGATGGAGGGATGAGCGTGGTGGAGTGATGGGCTACCATGATGGTGGGATGGGCAACCACCATGAAGGGATGAACGTGGTGGAGGGATGGGCTACCACCATGAAGGGATGAGCATGGTGGAGGGACGGGCAACCATGGTGAAGGGATGGACAACCACATTGGAGGGATGGGCAACCACGGTGGAGGGATGAGGTGGTCGCTCTGCTGTTGGTCACGGGCTCAGCTGACCACGCTTTTGGCTTCCCAGTTGTCCCACCTGTTCCTTCCGCTCAAGGAACGATGGTGGAGATGGGTGGCCACCATCGGCTTCTCCGGTGGAAGACAATGTTGGAGGAGGCAGTGGTTTTCCTGCCATGACCTTGCACCGCTCGGTGCTCCAGTCTGTTTGGGCCACCCTTCTCTTGCCTCTGTTGGCCAATGTTGAACTGGGGTCCACCTGGGCCACCATCTTCTGGCCTCACTTGGCCAATATTAAATTGGGGTCTACCTGGGCCACCCTCTTTGGGCCTTGGCTGGCCAGTATTAAACCAGGAACCATCTGGGCCACCCTCCTTGGGCCTCGGTTGACCAATGTTGAACTGGGGTCCATGAGGGCCACCCACCTTGGGCCTTGGTTGGCCAGTGTTGAACTGGGGTCCATCTGGGCCACCTTCCTTGGGCCTCAGTTGACCAACATTGAACTGGGGTCCATCTGGGCCGCCCTCCTTGGGCTTCAGTTGACCAACGTTGAACTGGGGTCCATGAGGTCCGCCCAACTTGGGCCTTGGTTGGCCAACGTCGAACTGGGGTCCATGAGGGCCACCCACCTTGGGCCTTGGTTGGCCAACGTTGAACTGGGCTCCATCTGGGCCATCCTCCTTGGGCCTTGGTTGGCCAATGTTGAACTGGGGTCCATCTGGGCCACCCACCTTGGGTCTCAGTTGACCAATGTTGAAGTGGGGTCCATGAGGGCCACCCACCTTGGGTCTCAGTTGACCAATGTTGAACTGGGGTCCATGAGGGCCACCCACCTTAGGCTTCAATTGGCCAACGTTCAACTGGGGTCAATGAGGGCCACCCACCTTGGGCCTCAGTTGACCAACGTTGAACTGGGGTCCATGAGGGCCACCCACCTTGGGCCTCAGTTGGCCAATGTTGAAGTGGGGTCCATGAGGGCCACCCAACTTGGGCTTCAGTTGGCCAGCATTGTACTGGGGTCCATGAGGGTCACCCTCCTTGGGCCTCAGTTGACCAACGTTGAACTGGGGGCCATCTGGGCCACCCTCCTTGGGCCTCAGTTGACCAACGTTGAACTGGGGGCCATCTGGGCCACCCTCCTTGGGCCTCAGTTGACCAACGTTGAACTGGGGGCCATCTGGGCCACCCTCCTTGGGCCTCAGTTGACCAACGTTGAACTGGGGGCCATCTGGGCCACCCTCCTTGGGCCTCAGTTGACCAACGTTGAACTGGGGGCCATCTGGGCCACCCTCCTTGGGCCTCAGTTGACCAACGTTGAACTGGGGGCCATCTGGGCCACCCTCCTTGGGCCTCAGTTGACCAACGTTGAACTGGGGGCCATCTGGGCCACCCTCCTTGGGCCTCAGTTGACCAACGTTGAACTGGGGGCCATCTGGGCCACCCTCCTTGGGCCTCAGTTGACCAACGTTGAACTGGGGGCCATCTGGGCCACCCTCCTTGGGCCTCAGTTGACCAACGTTGAACTGGGGGCCATCTGGGCCACCCTCCTTGGGCCTCAGTTGACCAACGTTGAACTGGGGGCCATCTGGGCCACCCTCCTTGGGCCTCAGTTGACCAACGTTGAACTGGGGGCCATCTGGGCCACCCTCCTTGGGCCTCAGTTGGCCAACGTTGAACTGGGGTCCCTCTGAGCCAGCCTCCTTGGGCCTTGGTTGGCCAACATTGAACTGGGGTCCATCTGGGCCACCCACCTTGGGCCTCGGTTGGCCAACGTTGTACTGGGGGCCACCTGGGCCACCCTCCTTGGGCCTTGGTTGGCCAACATTGAACTGGGGTCCATGAGGGCCACCCACCTTGGGCCTCGGTTGGCCAACGTTGTACTGGGGTCCACCTGGGCCACCCTCCTTGGGCCTTGGTTGGCCAATGTTGAACTGGGGTCCATGAGGGCCACCCACCTTGGGCCTCAGTTGGCCAACGTTGAACTGGGGTCCATCTGGGCCAGCCTCCTTGTGTCACGTTGGCCAACATTGAACTGGGGTCCATGAGGGCCACCCTCCTTGGGCTTCAGTTGGCCAACGTTCAACTGGGGTCAATGAGGGCCACCCACCTTGGGCCTCAGTTGGCCAACGTTGAACTGGGGTCCATGAAGGCCACCTTCTTTGGGCCTTGGTTGGCCAATGTTGAACTGGAGTCCACCTGAGCCACCCACCTTGGGCCTCAGTTGACCAACGTTGAACTGGGGTCCATGAGGGCCACCCTCCTTGGGCCTCAGTTGGCCAACGTTCAACTGGGATCCTCTTCCAAGCCGCTCTCAAGTCTGGTGGCCCCAGTTGGGCTCAACCCAGGGAAGGGTTGGTTGATCTTGGAAGTTCCCCGGTGCTTCAGGAGTGGTGTCCCCTCCTGTTGGGGTGTCCCTTGTCCCCCCCCCGCCCTTGGGGCATCATCATCATCATCCTCCTCATCGTTGGGGCTGGGGGTTGGGGGTCACTTGTGGGGCGGCTCCTCCCCATAACCAGGTGTCTCTCTCTCCGCTCTTCCAGTTGACATGGATGATGAAGACGGCCGGTGCCTGCTAGATGTAATTTGGTGAGTGACCCCCAAATTTGGGGGTGTGGGGGGAGGATTTGGGTGTGTTTGCACGATTTTGCACGAGGAAAAATCCTCGTGCGCCCCCTCGTCGCACCCATAACGTGGAAAAACCCATTTTCCCTATTTTACCCCCCAAAAAACCACCTGGTTTGGGTTTGGTTTTGTTTGACTCCCCTCCCTGGTGGCCCAGCAGCACCTTCGTTAGCGGGTGGCCCTAACGACTTCTTCCCGGGCTCGTTTGTCCAATCCTAATTAAGGAAGTGTTGTTAATTGGGGCGGGGCAGAATGAAGCGGGGGAAGGGGAATAAATGGCGGCGGAGAAGAATATTTACCTTCTCAGCACACCTAGAGCTTAATTAATATCATTAATTAATAGAATTAATTAATTATTGCCCTTCGGAGGATTTCTGGGGGTGGGGGGGTCAATGCATTAATTAAAATGGGTTAATTAATGGTGTTTCCCCCTCTTCTTTTCCAGCGACCCACAGGCCTTGAACGATTTTTTACATGGATCCGAAAAGGTGAGCGCCCGTTTCCTTCCTTCTTTCCCCCAAAAAACCTTCCCTCAAACTCCCTATTTTTGGGGGGTGTTTCCAATTTTTTGGAAAAAAACACCCTCCCCCCCCCAAGTTGAGCATCTTTGGAATTTTGAGCACTTTTTTGAGTGGGATTTGGGGTGTTTTGAGACAAGACGGGGAGGGAGGTCGCCCCTTGGCGCGGGGGCAGCCCCTCCCTCCACGCTCCCCATTTTTCTCTATTTTTCCCTCATTTTTCTCTATTTTCCCCTAATTTTTATTATTTTTAAAATTTTTTTGGGGCCATATTCTAGCTCAAAAAATAAGTAAATTACATCTTTTTTAATTCCAGATTGACAGTGATGATCTCCTGGACAACACAGGAGATGCAGCCAGTGCCTTTTTTGAAGGTGCTGGGGTATGTATTTGGAATTTCTACTTAGAAATAATCACTTTCAAAAACTCTCCTTTTTATTTTTTTCCCCCTCCCTTTTTTTATTTTTTTCGGTTAATTCCCAACCTTTTATTTTTCCATCTCTTCCCCAGCCCGAGGAGCAGGGATTATTCCTTAAGAATTTCTAGAGTTTCTCCAAATTTGTTTTTTTCCCCTCCGTCTCCGGGAGAGGGGCGGGGAAAAAAATGGGGTGAATTTCACCCGCTTTGGGAAAAAAAAAATTAAAAAAATTCTGCTTTTAGAGCCCTTTGGGGTTGGAAACAAAAAATGGGGGGCAGAAAGTGAAAGTCTCGCACCCCCGTGGGGGACTGGGAGAATTTTGGGAGAATTTGGGACGAATTGGGGGGAATTTGGGGGAAATTGGGGAGAATTTGGGAAAATTTTGGGAGAATTTGGGAGAATATTGGGAGAACGTGGGAGGAATTGGGGAGAATTTGGGAGAATTGGGAAAATTTTGGGAGAATTTGGGAGAAATAGGGAGAATATTGGGAGAATTTGGGAGGAATTGGGGAGAATTTGGGAGGAATTGGGGAGAATTTGAGATAAATGGGGAGAATGTGGGAAAATTTGGGGAAAATTTGGGGAGAAATAGGGAGAATATTGAGAGAATTTGGGAGGAATTGGGGAGAATTTGAGATAAATGGGGAGAATGTGGGAGAATTGGGAAAATTTTGGGAGAAATAGGGAGAACTGGGGAGAACTGGGAGAATATTGGGAGAATGTGGGAGGAATTGGGGAGAATTTGGGGAGAATTTGGGACAATTTGGGGAGAATTTGGGAGAAATGGGGAGAATGTGGGAGAACTGGGAGAATTTTGGGAGAATTGGGGAGAACTGGGAGAATACTGGGAAAATTGGGGAGAATTTGGGGAAAATTTGGAAGAATGTGGGAGAATTGGGGAGAATGTGGGACGAATTGGGGCAATTTGGGGAAAATTGGGGAGAACTGGGAAAATATTGGGAGGAATTGGGAGAATTTGGGGAAAATTGTGGAGAATGTGGGAGAATTGTGGAGAACTGGGAAAATTTGGGGAGAATTGGGAGAATTTGGATGTTTAAAATGAGGTTTTTGAGAAGGAAAAAAAGCTCCTCTCGCCCCCCCCTTGGGGGGGAATCGAAGCATTTTCACTTAAAAATAAAAAAATCCCCTTTTTTTTATCATTTTCCCCCAAAAGCATGGGTCACTGCATGGATAACCCCAAGCATGAATTATTATAATTTTTTTTTCTCTGTTTTTTCTCTATTTCCAGTTCCGTTTTAATAAAAATCTCGATTATTTTTCTTTTTTTTTTTTTTTAATTTTATTTTTATTCCATTTTTTTTTATCCCATCGCGCTTTATTTTATTCTTTTTTTGACCAAATTTCGGGAAAAGCTTCCGCCGCCTTCGCTCCGGTTGAGATTTCTTCTAATTTGCTGGGTTTGGGTTATTATTTTAATTTTTTTTTAATTTCCTGGGTTTTCCAGAGGCACGGGGTTGGGGGGGGGACGTTCCAATTTGGGCTGCACGGTGGATTTTCCCTTTATTTCCCCAATTCTTCGCCGCCCTCGCTATGGGGCGACCCACGGCGACGGGGGGGGCAGCTCCTGAGGGAAAAGGGCTGGGTTTTTACCATGTTTTTAGGCTTTTTTCCCCAAAAAAAGGCCTAAAAAATGTTGAAGAGGGAAGGGAGGTGGTGGGAATTGTCCCATTTGGTGGCTTGAGGTGGTTTGAAGGCGCCGTTCGTTGGTTCCTCCAGTTGTTTGTTTGGTGGCATCTCCCGCCCTCAAACGATGCCGGGTGTTAATTAAGGGGGGGCGGGGCCAAAACGCTCTCAGCGCTTAACGAGGAGGGGGCTGGGCCACCACATCGCGGTGGTGGCTCCTGGAAGTGGCCAAGGAAGCTCTTTTGTCTTGAGCTTGGAGGAAGCTCAGGGCTTCTTCTTCTGGAGGAAGCTCAGAGGCTTCTTCTGGAGGAAGCTCAAAGGTTTCTTCTGCTTCTTCTGGAGGAAGCTCGGGACTTCTTCTGGGGGAAGGTCAGGGCTTCTGGAGGAAGCTCAAAGGTTTCTTTTGGAGGAAGCTCAGGGCTTCTTCTTTTGGGGGAAGCTCAGGTCATCTTCTAGAGGAAGCTCCAAGGCTTTTTTTGGAGGAAGCTCCAAGCTTTCTTCTTGAGGAAGCTCAAAGGCTTCTTCTGGAGGAAACTTGGATCTTCTTCTGGAGGAAGCTCCAAGGTTTCTTCTGGAGGAAGCTCCAAGACTTCTTCTGGAGGAAGCTCAGAGGCTTCTTCTGGAGGAAGCTCAGGACTTCTGGAAAAAGCTCAAAGGCTTCTTCTGGAGGAAGCTCTTGGAGGAAGCTCGGGGCTTCTTCTGGAGGAAGGTCAAGGCTTCTTCTGGAGGAAGCTCAGAGGCTTCTTCTGGAGGAAGCTCAAGGCTTCTTGACTGGAGGCTTCTTGCCCGGAAGCTCTTCTCCCAGCACCAGAGCTCAATGTCTTCTCCTTTCTTCTCCCCTCCCACCCCACCGTCTCCCAGTTGCACGTCCAGGAGGCCTCGGGCAACCACCTGAGCACGGAGCAGAGCCAACCCCCCGCCAGCGTGGACCTGGATTTTTTAGAAGATGACATTTTGGGGTCCCCCTCGGGCGGCGGGACCAACCTGCAGAACTCGGACCAACCCTGCGACATCCTCCAGCAGAGCCTGCAGGAGGCCAACATCACCGAGCAGACCTTGGAGGCCGAGGCCGAGTTGGATTTGGGGTCCTTCCAGCTGCCCACCCTCCAACCCGTGGTGCAGACGGCGTCCGATGGCACCCCCCAGATCTTCTCCGGCGGGGCGGACCTCATCGGCCTTCAGCCCCCCGCCGTCCTCACCCACCAGGCCTTGGTGCAACAGTCGGTGGGGGCCGACGTGGTCAACAAGGCCATCAGCGTCCAACCCTTCCTCCAGCAGGTGGGGTTGGGCAACGTCACCATCCAACCCATCTCCAACCTGCAGGGTTTGCCCAACGGGAGCCCCAGCGGGACCTTGGGGATCGGGCCCATCCAGGTGGTGGGACAACAGGTGATGGCCATCAACCAATCGGGCCAGCAGATCATCGCCAAGCAGGTCCAACCCTCCCAGGTGGCCACCATGCCCGTGGGCAGCTACATCACCCAACCGGCGCCCGAGCAGCAGCAGGTCACCTTGGCTTCCACGGGGGTGTCTCCTCAAAGCGCCGGGTTGGTCATCCAGAAGAACTTGCCCACGGTGGCCACCACCACGCTCAACGGCAACTCCATGTTCGGCAGCGTGGCCGGGACTCAAGGTTCCCAACCCCTCACCGTCACCTCCAACTTGAGCAGCCCTTTGGTCCAAGCCCAAAACGTCATCATCCACCGCACGCCCACCCCCATCCAACCCAAACCCGCCGGCGTCCTCCAGCAGAAGCTCTACCAGATCACCCCCAAACCCTTCTCCTCCAACAACACCACCCTCACCATCCAGAACGAAGCCGCCCTCCAGCAGCAGAAGGCCCAGCAGAACCTCACCTTCATGGCCGGCAAACCCGGCCAGAACGTGGTCCTCTCGGGCTTCCCCCAAGGGCTCCCGGCCAACGTCTTCAAGCAGCCACCACCCCAACAGCAGGCCCTCAACAAGCCCATGAGCGTCCACCTCCTCAACCAGGGCAGCAGCATCGTCATCCCGGCCCAGCACGTCCCCCAGGCCATGCTCCAAGGTCAAAACCAGTTCCTCCTCCCCGGCCAACTGGCCGGCGCCTCGGCCGTCCAGCTCCCCCAGCAGCTCTCGGCTCTTCAGGCCAACATGGGTGGGCAGATCTTGACCACCTCCCACCCAACCGGCCAAGCCCACATCATCACTAGCCAAGGACCCGGTGGCCAGTTGATAACCAACCAAGCGTTGCCGGCCCAGATCCTCACCAACCAGAACATCGCCGGGCAGTTGAACCTGGGCCAGGTCCTCACCTCGCAGAACGCCCACGGCACGGCCCACATCCTCTCGGCCCCCATCCAACTCCAACCGGGTCAAGTTGGCCAACCGGCTCTTTTCCAGATGCCCGTTTCCTTGGCGGGCAGTTTGACCACCCAAAGCCAACCTTCTGTAGCCGCGTCTTTGGGTCAAACTGGCCAAACGGTCATCCAAGGGGTGACCTTGCCCAACCAGGTGGCCATGCTCAACCCCGCCGAGAACCTGGGCCAGGCCGTCAGCATCCAGGCCTCGGCCACCACCAGTAGCCAAAGTCCCGGCCTCGTCCAACCCCAACCCGCTTCCGGGGGCAACCTCTTGCCCAGTACGGACCAGTCCTCCATCCTCACCGTCCAGACGGCCTCCCAGCAGCCCGCCCAGCTCCAGCTCAACGTCCCACCACCCCCACCGCCGCCCTCCCAGCAACCGGGGACTTCCCAGCCCAGTCCCAGTTTGGCTTCCAGCCCGGAGAAGATCATCCTGGGGCAAGCGGCGGCCACCGGAGCCGTCATCAACCAGGACTCCATGCAGATGTTCCTCCAGCAGGTGAGCAGAGCCTCCTCAGGTGGTGGCCACCGTCTTCTCAGCCCCAGCAGGTGGTGGCCACCGTCTTCTCAGCCCCAGCAGGTGGTGGCCACCGTCATTGCAGTCCCATCAGGTGGTGGCCATCATGTTTGCAGCCTCCTCAGGTGGTGGCCACCGTCTTCTCAGCCCCATCAGGTGGTGGCCATTGTCTTCTCAGCCCCATCAGGTGGTGGCCACCATCATTGCAGCCTCCTCAGATGGTGGCCACCATCATTGCAGTCCCATCAGGTGGTGGCCACCGTCTTATCAACCTCATCAGGTGGTGGCCATTGTCTTACCGGCCTCCTCAGGTGGTGGCCATTATTGCAGCCCCATCAGGTGGTGGCCATTGTCTTATCAGCTCCATCAGGTGGTGGCCACCATCTTATCAGCCCCTTTTGGTCGTGGCCACCATCATTGCATCCCCATCAGGTGGTGGCCATTGTCTTATCAGCCTCCTCAGGTGGTGGGCACCGTCTTATCAGCCCCATCAGGTGGTGGCCACTGTGTTTGCAACCTCCTCAGGTGGTAGCCACCATCATTGCAGTCCCATCAGGTGGTGGCCATCATGTTTGCAGCCTCCTCAGGTGGTGGCCATCATCTTATCAGCCTCCTCAGGTGGTGGCCATCATCTTATCAGCCTCCTCAGGTGGTGGCCACCGTGTTTGCAGCCTCCTCAGGTGGTGGCCATTGTCTTATCAACCCCATCAGGTGGTGGCCATTGTCTTACCGGCCTCCTCAGTTGGTGGCCACCGTCATTGCAGCCCCTTCTGGTGGTGGCCACCGTCATTGCAGCCTCCTCAGGTGGTGGCCACCATCATTGCAGTCCCCTCAGGTGGTGGCCACTGTGTTTGCAGCCCCCTCTGGTGGTGGCCATTGTCTTCTCAGCCCCATCAGGTGGTGGCCATTGTCTTCTCAGCCCCATCAGGTGGTGGCCACTGTTGTATCAGCCCCATCAGGTGGTGGCCACCATCATTGCAGTCCCATCAGGTGGTGGCCACCGTCTTATCAGCCCCCTCTGGTGGTGGCCACCATCATTGCAGCCCCAGCAGGTGGTGGCCACTGTTGTATCAGCCCCATCAGGTGGTGGCCACCGTCATTGCAGTCCCATCAGGTGGTGGCCACCGTCTTATCAGCCCCATCAGGTGGTGGCCACCGTCATTGCAGTCCCATCAGGTGGTGGCCACCGTCTTATCAGCCCCTGACCTTGCCCAACCAGGTGGCCATGCTCAACCCCGCCGAGAACCTGGGCCAGGCCGTCAGCATCCAGGCCTCGGCCACCACCAGTAGCCAAAGTCCCGGCCTCGTCCAACCCCAACCCGCTTCCGGGGGCAACCTCTTGCCCAGTACGGACCAGTCCTCCATCCTCACCGTCCAGACGGCCTCCCAGCAGCCCGCCCAGCTCCAGCTCAACGTCCCACCACCCCCACCGCCGCCCTCCCAGCAACCGGGGACTTCCCAGCCCAGTCCCAGTTTGGCTTCCAGCCCGGAGAAGATCATCCTGGGGCAAGCGGCGGCCACCGGAGCCGTCATCAACCAGGACTCCATGCAGATGTTCCTCCAGCAGGTGAGCAGAGCCCCGGCACGTGGTGGCCACCATCTTCTCAGCCCCATCAGGTGGTGGCCATCGTCTTCTCAGCCCCAGCAGGTGGTGGCCACCATCATTGCAGTCCCATCAGGTGGTGGCCATCATGTTTGCAGCCTCCTCAGGTGGTGGCCACCGTCTTCTCAGCCCCATCAGGTGGTGGCCACCGTCTTCTCAGCCCCAGCAGGTGGTGGCCACCATCATTGCAGCCCCATCAGGTGGTGGCCACCATCATTGCAGTCCCATCAGGTGGTGGCCACCGTCTTCTCAGCCCCATCAGGTGGTGGCCACCATCATTGCAGCCTCCTCAGATGGTGGCCACCATCATTGCAGTCCCATCAGGTGGTGGCCACCGTCTTCTCAGCCCCATCAGGTGGTGGCCATTGTCTTATCAGCTCCATCAGGTGGTGGCCACCATCTTATCAGCCCCTTTTGGTCGTGGCCACCATCATTGCATCCCCATCAGGTGGTGGCCATTGTCTTATCAGCCTCCTCAGGTGGTGGGCACCGTCTTATCAGCCCCATCAGGTGGTGGCCACTGTGTTTGCAACCTCCTCAGGTGGTGGCCACCATCATTGCAGCCCCATCAGGTGGTGGCCACCATCATTGCAGCCCCATCAGGTGGTGGCCACCATCATTGCAGTCCCATCAGGTGGTGGCCACCATCTTATCAGCCCCTTCTGGTCGTGGCCACCATCATTGCATCCCCATCAGGTGGTGGCCATTGTCTTATCAGCCTCCTCAGGTGGTGGGCACCGTCTTATCAGCCCCATCAGGTGGTGGCCACTGTGTTTGCAACCTCCTCAGGTGGTGGCCACCATCATTGCAGCCCCATCAGGTGGTGGCCATCATGTTTGCAGCCTCCTCAGGTGGTGGCCATTGTCTTATCAACCCCATCAGGTGGTGGCCATTGTCTTACCGGCCTCCTCAGGTGGTGGCCACCGTCATTGCAGCCCCTTCTGGTGGTGGCCACCGTCATTGCAGTCCCATCAGGTGGTGGCCACCATCATTGCAGTCCCCTCAGGTGGTGGCCACTGTGTTTGCAGCCCCCTCTGGTGGTGGCCACCGTCCTATCAGCCCCAGCAGGTGGTGGCCATTGTCTTCTCAGCCCCATCAGGTGGTGGCCACTGTTGTATCAGCCCCATCAGGTGGTGGCCACCATCATTGCAGTCCCATCAGGTGGTGGCCACCGTCTTATCAGCCCCCTCTGGTGGTGGCCACCATCATTGCAGCCCCAGCAGGTGGTGGCCACTGTTGTATCAGCCCCATCAGGTGGTGGCCACCGTCATTGCAGTCCCATCAGGTGGTGGCCACCGTCTTATCAGCCCCATCAGGTGGTGGCCATTGTCGTATCAGCCCCCTCTGGTGGTGGCCACCGTGTTTGCAGCCCCCTCTGGTGGTGGCCACCGTCATTGCAGTCCCATCAGGTGGTGGCCACCAACTTTCTGCCCAGATTTGAACCATTGAGGGTTTTCCTGGAACTGGGAAATCCCTTCCTGGAACTGGGAAACACTTCCTGGAACTGGGAATTCCTTTCCTGGAACTGGGGGAATCCCTTCCCGAACTGGGGGAATCCCTTCCTGAACTGGGAAATCCCTTCCCGGAACTGGGAATCTCTTCCTTAAATTGGGAAATCCCTTCCTGAACTGGGGAATCCCTTTCCGAAACTGGGGAATCCCTTCCCAAACTGGGAAATCCCTTCCTGGAACTGGGAAACCCGTCCCAGAACTGGGGAATCCCTTCTGGAACTGGGGGAATCCCTTCCTGGACCTGGGGAATCCCTTCCCAAACTGGGAAATCCCTTCCTGGAACTGGGAAACCCGTCCCAGAACTGGGGAATCCCTTCTGGAACTGGGGGAATCCCTTCCTGGACCTGGGGAATCCCTTCCCAAACTGGGAAATCCCTTCCTGGAACTGGGAAACCCGTCCCAGAACTGGGGAATCCCTTCTGGAACTGGGGGAATCCCTTCCTGGACCTGGGGAATCCCTTCCCAAACTGGGAAATCCCTTCCTGGAACTGGGAAACCCATCCCAGAACTGGGGAATCCCTTCTGGAACTGGGGGAATCCCTTCCTGGAACTGGGGAATCCCTTCCCAAACTGGGGGAATCCCTTCCTGGAACTGGGGAATCCCTTCCCAAACTGGGAAATTCCTTTCCAAACTGGGAATCCCTTTCTGGATCTGGGGGAATCCCTTCCCGGAACTGGGGAATCCCTTCCCGGAACTGGGGAATCCCTTCCCAGAACTGGGAATCCCTTCCTCAACTGGGGGAATCCCTTCCCGGAACTGGGAAACCCCTTCCCGGAACTGGGAAACCCCTTCCTGGAACTGGGGAATCCCTTCCTGGAACTGGGGAAATCCCTTCCTGGAACTGGGGAATCCCTTCCTGGAACTGGGGAATCCCTTCCCGGAACTGGGGAAACCCCTTCCTGGAACTGGGGAAACCCCTTCCTGGAACTGGGAAACCCTTTTTGAACTGGGAATCCTTCCTGGAACTGGGGGAATCCCTTCCCAAACTGGGGGAATCCCTTCCCAGAACTGGGGAATCCCTTCCCAAACTGGGAAATCCCTTCCTGGAACTGGGAAAAGCCCTTCCCAAACTGGGAATCCCTTCCTGAACTGGGGAATCCCTTCTTGAACTGGGAAAATCCCTTCCCGGAACTGGGAATCCCTTCCTTAAATTGGGGAATCCCTTCCCAAACTGGGGAAATCCCTTCCTGGAACTGGGAAATCCCTTCCTGGAACTGGGAAACACATCCCAGAACTGGGGAAACCCCTTCCCAAACTGGGAAATCCCTTCC